GTTCATGTAAAAATGTGTACCTCTCCCGGAAATGTCAGGCATATCTTGCAGCTTTGGCATCAAGCAAAATAGTTCTATTGTAAAAATGTCACAGAGCTTTCTGAGATGATATAGCAATGCCAGGAAGACATAGGATTTAGCCATTGCCTGAGTAACATACAAAAAACGATTTCTATACTTGTTGAACTTCTTCGGCAAAAGTGGAGATATTTGGATTAGTGTGATCAATATTTTCTTGACTATTTCCATCTTAAAAAGGGCTAAAATGATCATGTGTTTGTAAACTTTGACAAGTGTTGTTGAAAGTTGAATTATAAATTGAAATTGAAAAAAAGGACACAGATATAATAAGATGTTCGAAAACACATAAATCTACTTTATTCTATATGCTGAGATAATTTATTTATTTACAAAAAATACATTATTGATATATTTAAATGATTTTTATGGCATGATATAAGCAATAATATCTCCATTACAGATATATTCAGAGTTTATCAGAGACATTATTATATTCTTTTAAATTTTATCTTCAAACTTACAAAAGAATATCCGTAGAGCTTCACCATTTATTTTCTTGTCGGAAACAAAAACAGACTTTTTCAAGAGCTGTCATCACGTAGGTTTCCAAACAAACAGGACGAGTGAAAAAGACATGCTAAAAACGTTCACCCCAGCTCACGCCAAGCTCACACTCAACAAACACCTAATAAAATAGCAGATTTATTTCCATTCTAACGCATACAATATTTTTTACACATTTTTTAAAAAATGATCAAAATCTCTGTTTAAGATACCAAAGTTAGGGTTAGCAAATCAGATCGGCCAGGAAAAACATGAAAAATGTCTTCATGAAGGAAGTATGTTGAAATAAATCTCTAAACTATCGCGATGATCTCATAGCAGAAATTTACACTTGTCAATCAGGACATTTATACTATAAAGAATTACTCAGAACCTATTTCTTATCATGATGACAAAAACGCTTCAACGTCAGGAACGCAATGTTCATTTCACCTGTGATCTGTCAGTTATGCTTATGGATAGCCATATCTTATGCAACTGACGCCTGGCTTTTATAAACATACCTAACAACAATAAAATCACGTTCTGGTGAAACCAGAACCCCTCTTATCCGAGACTGCAGACCCCCGAAACCTCACCCCTTTTATCACAAGTAGGCGTAGACTGGGTTAGGCCACTTTGTTCTGTAGTATGGGACGAGATGTGGCATGATATTCGGCAATTTACGAGGCTAGAATATTAGCTATTGAAAATATGACGACAGTCCCCTCCTTGTTTTATAAAGGGTCAGGAAGCTAAAAGCATGCTATTGGGTACTTTTAAGTGCTGATGGATTATCTTTCCACAGAACCCGTCCCATCTTGTCTCCAGCACAAAGGCAAATTCTTCATGATTATGTAAATTGTAACATCATTTTATATTTGTGTTCATTATTGGTATTGTTTGTACTGCTTTGTGAAAATGTGTAAAAATAATTAAAAACTTTTGATTTGATATATGCTTTTCATTATAAATTATTCACAATGGAAAAAGAGGTGTAATTGTATTTCTGTGTTATTCATGATATCAGCTGTACAAGTCACAATCTAAATGGAAAATAGCGAGGAGCTTTCATTTTTCTTTGCAAATTTCTCATTGTTAGCAATTTTCAAACTTTTATCAAAACGTCAACTGTTAGTAAAAAGGTTACAATACATCAAATTTATTTTTCATGTATTACAGAAGTTTCTGGAAAGCAGAATATAAATTTGATTTATTCAATTTCCTTTCCAGTTTGATATATACTGCTCCACTGTCGACGGAAAATTGTTTTCAGTGCTTCACAAAACTAATTCCAATACGACAAGTGTATATTTAAGAAGAATGTCAGTTGCTTACCCCCATCACATGTTGATAAGTAATCTGTTTTGTGTACAAAATGACACAAAAAATTACTGTTTCAATTTACATATTTATTATCTTGCCAAATTTTAGATAATAGTCAAAATGTTAACTTAAAAAATGTACTTATTTTGGTTGGAAGGATAACGTTCCTGCTTGATGGTGATAATATTGATAATATAATATATAATATAATATATTGATGATGATGATGATGATGGTGGTGATGATAATGATGATGACGATTATCATCCTTGCTATTACTAACCCTCAACTACTTCACAACACTATGACCAGTCTGGAATATTGACCACATGTCAAGACGTAGACATTTCCATGAAATCAACCTGAAAGTGACATGGTCAGATTTCAACTGATCAAGTGTCAATCAGAATGTCTAGTCTGGTTCCCTGTCTCCTCTCCCTCCTTCACCCCTTTGCATCCCCTAATAGGCCTTTTACCCCTGAAATACCTCCATTAAGTTCATATCACAGTATAGTGAAACACCATGAAAACGCATAAAGGATTTTGACTCTAGATAAGTAACAACTGACTGGAGTAATATGTTCAGAAATTACTATGTGAATGTGGTGGATTCAAACTCGACTCAGACAGTGTGACTGCATTACTACCCATTTTCTCTTTTTGTCAATTTGTTGAAAATTATTTCAAATATTTGACTATTCACCTTCAGTTTGGATCATCATTATACATGAACTAATGCCCATTAGCAAACGGGATTGCCCATTACATTATATAACAATACATGTTAAAAAGAGTTTTATTAAAAGGCTTCCTTAAAAAAGTTATTGAAGTACATTTACCAGGGAGTACTTCAGAACACTGACCCCCTGATTATCCCTGCCATGCTCCCTAAATCAAAGACACTACACCATCCCTTTCTATCACCCTGAGAACATACTAACACGACCCCCTCTCAAGACTGCTTGTCTCCCTCCCGAGTTGAAAAGTCAACCATGTTCCTCCAGCGGGCGGTCACTCGCGACATCCTTATCAGCCTTAGGTCAGCTGTTTACTTGACACGTTCAGACAGTGAAAGGGTCTCGCTTGTATAGTGGCGCGTGGCCAATATAATTTCAGTTTATTTTTCTGTCTTGAGGGCAAACAAACATTATGTCTCACTGACAATTACAATGGTGAATGTTTCGACCTCTCCTGCGCGACTTTGTGATCGTCGGGGAACCGTTGTAGATTAAACAAGGGAGAGTAAATTACCTGATTAGTGAAATCGACATGAGTTGTTGTCTATTTCAAGACTGGTGTGAGGAGCTGTAGATTGCTGTACTTAGCTCTATAACAGTAACATACCTCAGTCCATACTGAATTTACAAAAATGTATATTTAAACCTAACAACATTTCCAACACAATTGACTAACTACTTGTCAAAGTCGCCATAACCCGTTACGTGAGTGAATTCACCTAAGTACATGTACCCATTTCGGGCAGTGTCACACTAATTACATATATTCAAATACACAGTCCCTTTAATAACCCGCAGTGTGTAATTCATCACGCATTTCAATCACAGCGCCTCAGAAACACCAGAATGAACCTACACGTAAAAATACCCAAGGCAATCGCAAAACCAGTGCGAGAAAAAGACGCTAACGGATTATGGAAACTTACGTAATTACTCCCCACTAAATCCCCGAAAACCATCGCAAAAGGTCAACGTTGTCAATTGCATCTTAGTCGTCGCGTATATCATGTAGATTTCACTAGCCCGCTACAACAGCCAGCGTTCGCTACCCGCTGTCGCTCTTATCCATTGCATGTGAGTTGTTGTCCGTATGCGTATGGCGGCCGTCGCAGTCGCTCCAATCTCATCTCTATTGATTTTACAACTTTTTACTCCTTTAGGCTAAATAAATGTTTACATTCAACAACAATTCTAAGACCACAGGAACTGATGGTAAAACTGATATATTATGACAATTTCATATTAACCCGTTATGTCCTTTTGACCGGAGAACCGATAGGTTGACTAATTGAATCTGGGCATATCTACAGACGTCAGTCGTCAAAACACAAATGTGATTATACAGTAAAGGTTTGCTAATACCAGGCTAATACAATGAAGTGAAATAAACCCCACGACAACGATACGTTGTTATAAAGTAAGTTGATTTAATTATCATAAATCGATATTAGCCGGAATTGCTTCTGGTTATACGAAATGGCAACAGTTGTCAAATGAATTTCGTCAAATATGTGACAGAAATTAATTATAAACTACATAGCTGCTTATTTCAAGTGTATATCTAGCAGAACATGTATGCGTTAGTGGACAGGTCAGGTAAGTTTTCAACATATTGAAATAATGCCGAGTTTTGCGTATCGAAGGAAGTATTGGTGTAAATTCGAGCGTGAGTTCGAAATGCGTTGATATAGATTCATATTGCAACTTTGATCGGATTAAAGGTTTGTATTTCATTCTATCAAAGAAAATGACATCACGGTTGAACGTTTCCCCGACAAAATGGTATCAAATTCAGACAATTATAATAATGGAGACAGTCCTAAGTCGCCGAAAATGCAACACTGGCCAAAGTTCGTGTCACCTGCCTTTCCAGGTCTGTACCTACCACGCACATATCTTTGACGTAATTCCAAATTTGACAATTGTATGACAACTTGGTAAACTGATGAGTCCAATAGGGAATAGATTTACAACTTATTCCAACCGTTTTGACACAGGGTTACGACTGTTTGAATAATCTAGCGACTTATGAAGATCCGGCACGCACTCTGATCGTTGTAGGTGTGAAATAAAGTGCCTGGTGAAATGACTGGAAACTGAAGCTATTTAACGAGACGAAAACTATGTGTACCACGGTTAAGATGCATGGGCTTAGCACGTGCGATATCTCACCATTTGTCTACGAAAATAATTCAGATATACGCTGTTAAACAACTGTCGAAACTTGTCAACATTTCAGCGACGCGAATCTCGCAGGCTGAACAGTACAGCCGCTCGCTGTCGACTGTACATCTGTAGGAATAATTGAGTGGCGATGGTGTCTGTGGTTTTGATGATGGACAAAAATAGGAAAATGAGAGAAAAAGTACTTACATTGGATTGGTGACGTTCCAGTGAACAGTATATCTTGCCGCTTCAATGACCCGATCTGACAGCAAGGAATATATCCATATCAGAAGTACTGTAAACACTATATTCCACGACATGGTGAAATGTGGTCCCCGATTCCTTCAAACTATTTATCCAACTTGATACTTCTTTCAAAAGTCGTTCACAAGTAAACCATACAGTAGGATGTCATCAACTCAACGCCAGACGTCCCAGAGGTCGGCCTACCCGGTCAAAATCTACCATTAGCAGCGCACTCGCGTCTCTTTCTGTTAACCCACGAGCGTGCGATAACAACAGTGTGAGGGGGCTTGGAGGGAAAGGGAGGTAACTCTAGTACGGTCAGGTGTAGCGATGGAAATAGACAAGCTACTGGTGACAGCGGTGAGTGTTGTCACTGGAAATAAACTAGCAGATCAGATCGGGAGGAGTTTAGAAACGTCGATCTTATTTCACTAGGATCCGTCTCAGCGCATTTGAACTTCTTAGGTAATTACGCGCTTAAAGCAACTTTGTAATGAGATATTTCCTTTGGTTTTTCAAGATGTATTTTCCGTTCAACACAATTGCTACTGGTGTTAGGCCGTGTTTTATTGGCTTATGATCGGAGAATTACACTGACGATAGTGTGTAAATATCACTCCTAGATTTAAATGCCAATCATATTACGATAACACTGATATCAACTCGAGGGCAGTTTATACACCGTTAGCTTACAAAGATATATGGCTGTGTTATTTCCTAGTTTTTGTCTCCTCGACTTCGCTGTTAGTGACAGGTATAGGAGATAGCCATGCTCATTATCTAAACCCAATTTGTCACCGATTACTCTATCTGTGTTTTGTTCTTTCGTCTCCCACCGTGTCAGATATTTTTGTACAAATCGTTATCAACGGAAATGCTGCACCCAAACGTCTTAATGTAAAATATATATCAACTCTTCAAATTATGCATATTTATTTTCAAGATAATTTCTTTTTGCATATATCCCCAGTAATTCGATATTCATTTATCTATATATTTACCATTCTAGTACGTTCCTACTTTCGGTGTAATTTATTTTATCTTTAATTTTCTTAAATTGGTAATATTCCTTGATCCCGTTTATATGTATATAGTGTATATATTCTAGTTTATATAGGTTTTCTATAAGTATTATTTCCTTCTCTTTAACCTTTACACAAACGCAACTTCATTCCATTTCTAAAAATAAAGTATTTTAAAATGTTCCAAATCAGGTTAAAATAATTTTAAGCGTTTAATCGTATTTTTCGGGAGAACGAATATTTTCATTCAATGTTACTTGACAGGATAATTTTTATTTTTATTTTGGTATATAAAACATGGCTGGCCACATGGAGGAGTTTCTATGTCAATATCACGTTTATTCATGCCAGAGTATTTCACCCTCTTCAACCAAGTTAGTGATACATTTTATCAGTGCATTGCGCTACAATTATATTTGGCCGCCATTTTCCGCATTGCTACCAATCCCGTAACCTTGTTTTGAATTGTCGTCGCTGTAATGATTCATAATTCAAACAGTCCAAATAGAATGCTGCTGGTAACTGAATCGTGTTGAAATACACATGAGTAAATTAAATACTGGAATTGCGATCTAAATTTATATGAATCTCATTATCCGTAAATATGATATCGTGTCCATTTTGTGTAAAAAGAGATACAATCTTTTGTAAAATTTGAAAAATATTACTTAGTAAATGGATATTTGGCATTTCATTGCCTTTTATGGACGACAGGTAGACATTAAATTAAATTAATTTGTTTACTGTCGTATATGAAATAAGGAATATATGATTATATTTTTGTTCTGAATGCAGATAGTGAGACTCAAAGAGTTCAGAATCTAGATAGTCATTGTGAAATATACATCCAGCATGTTTCAATGCTCTGGGGTTCACTTAACACCCCAGGGACATATTTCATCCTTACTTTTAGAATAAGGTACCCGATCGTGAGGGATGTTGTAACATCATTTAAATATTGATACCGACCATTGGTCATGACGTATGTTTACATAACATACCAGCGATGGTTCTTGTATAAATTAGAGCTGTTTAAATCGACCAAAGATCAAACAGGTAGAGGAATTCGGCAGCATCGCTAATTGATTATAGTAGCTGCAAAAAATACACATACATAATGAGCAATTTGCCCAAAGACTCTTAAATGATTAATACTTGACGGACGTGGCCATGAAATCCCCTTTGTCCCAGATTTCATTACCATGGTGACCTAATCTCCCCGCGTGGGGCGTTATCTCCTCATATTAGGCCATAATCGCCCTAGTCTAATTAAGTAATCGCCAACAAATCGCCATATTGCTTCGCGGACGGTATTCGATTATTGAACTGTCGAGGCGGAAGGTGATGATGTCATAAGTTGGTCGAGCTGTACTAAGGTGGCCGCGACACTCCCGAAAGTTGGATCGGATAAGGATAGAATTTCAAGTTTTATTAAAGCGGTAATATCATTTCTGAAATATAATTATTCGAAAATTATTAGAGTGTAGTCATTGTCTTCTTATTTGATGGGCATTTTAGTTGAGGTGATGAAGACTGATGACAGTTTTTATGGATATACAACTTCTCTTCTTTGTTGTTAACGACATTAGAATCTATGTCGAAACGTCGCCTTTCACAGAATAAAGGAAGTTGTATATCCATAAAAACTGTCATCGTTCTTGGTCATTGTCTAAGTAATTTAATTCAATGACAATCTGTCTAGTCAGATGACGACAAAGTCCCGTTTATAGGAAACGGTAAATACCTACTCGAAGACAAACTGGCATTGTGATTGAACACTTTGATAGCTAAAATACATCATTGAAGTGTTGATTGTTTAGGTGTAGTGTGGATGAACGTTTGGGATATCTCACTCAAGGAACAGACGGACAGTGTCGCCCGAGGATGCCTCACTGTAAACGTATTAAAGTTATGGTTGACATTCGACAATTTCAGAAATGTCACAAAATGTAATTTTTTATGAAGACTTGATGTCTGACTCTAGCTATCACCACACATCCGTGTCTGTAGTACTTACAGCAAACGAGAACAGGTCATCATGTCCGACAAGTGATAGCATGTTTACATGATTACAACCACGCACCTATTGACATCGATAACAATAGTATTAATCATCAACTGCATAGTTTTAGTAGTGTTCCCCCTAGGATTCAGAAAGGGCAGGGTAACTTAAACAAAAAGGGCACTTCATAATCTAAAAGGGCACTTTGGTGAGGATTATTGAAAAATAACAATAACAAAATGTATATGAAGTCAAATGCTCTTATAATTTTATTTCTAAAGTTCATTTATTACTCTTCTCATTTTGTATTTTAAGATCAAAATTTGGAAAAAAAGCATTCACATTTGTTTACAATTTCACAAAACACGCAAACAACAATTTACAGTTTTGTTTTCTTTCTTGCCAAGCATCTGTTCACACTTTTTTTCAAGTCAATGTCTGAAACTGATCGATGCATTCAGACTAATCAAGAGAAGTCTGTTGCAATTTTGAACACTGAGTCTGTTTCTATGATCTGTCACAATCAGTTTCACTTTTGAGAACACTCTCAACTTCTAGAAGTGGACAATCACAGTTGCATGAATGGACAGTGATTGAACAATGTTTGGATTCAAGTTTCAAGTTGAGGCTTGAGTCTTCAAATGGTGGAGGGTGAACTGGTGTCAAGCTCATTTCTTGACTCCACTCAATCTGTGATTCTGCCCTTGGTGTTCATTGCTAAAAGCATAATGAACAAACCATCATTCCCTTCTTTTTGTCATCTTCTGAGTACCTCGACCAGGGACGTTTTGTTGCCACTTTGTGTCAAATGCAGTCTTGTGACCACCATCTTTCTTCTGTGTTGGATTAACTGACTCTGTCTCGTGTGCCCTTGAATTTTCATAGGGAAACTACCTCTGACTCGTCTAAGTCCGGTCTGAAAAAAATATATACAAAGTTAATATACCATATTCAAAATATTCTTAGATGTTAAATTTGCAATCATAATTATTAAAACAAAAATACACAAGTAATACACCTGAACGCAAGTATCTACTGTGGAGAGCTTCGACAAGGGTGTGGCTTCCCATTGTTTGAAATCGTAAAATAGTTTTTCGAAAAGACTTACATTTTTATGAAATCGACAGTAAACACTAAAAACAAGGCTACCAAGTGAAGCTGTTATGCAAGCTGTATTAACTATTTCATTTCCCAGGACAAACAACAAAATAATTCAAGATCAATTTCAAATTGCCGATGGATTCAAAAATGGCGGACATTTTCGAGTTTCAGATTTTCACCTAAACAGCACAGTCACATGAATATCGGTCCCCAAACGTACCAAAATACATCCCATGTAGAAAGGGCAGGGCGCAAAATGTGCCTATTAAGAGTACGCTCTGATGTATGAATGTTTTATTCACATGTCTGGTTTGAAAGTCTGTCCCATCCTCGGGGCCCAAGGAAATAAAACATCTTATTTACCTCGGACATAAAACATACTATTAACAGAATCTGCTTGTATTTGCCCCACGACAGTGTTAAAATGCACTAGCATTACTTGGTGTATGCAAAAACTGATAATTTTACATGTCCACAGAGATTCTGATAAAGATCGCATTGACCATTCTCTTGAAATACGGTTCCAAGTCAAGAGCTGGATTATATCTTTCGACCTCGTTGACACAAGTTGCTCGGTGCTGCAACCCATCCCCGCGACTACTGTTTCAAATACGACTAGGAATCTATTAATTAGTATTTTTACCCATGTTAGCAAAAGGAATCAGCCGTCTCGTCGTTGAATTATGCACAACGTTAAGTAATGATCAATGTTAGTTACCCAACCTCAGCCCCAAGGGAGGTAAGTGATGTCGGCCGTGCATTGTTTCAAGTGCTGACATACAGCCGTAAGTGCGTTTGTATTTGGTACTTACGCGTGGACGGGGAAGATTCCATACCGAAATACAAGGAAAGCCAATAATTGTGACATTGATTAATTGTTACGGGCTTGACCTATTGATAGTGCTTTAGCCACAGAAAACTCTTATTAATATTATCAACGGTTAATAAATCATGTTGTACAGCTTGAGATATTAACACGATTATGCTTGAATTAACGACCCTTTAGTTACACATACAAAATATGACATTTAAAAACAAACAAAATCCACTAACACCTTTCATTAAAAAATCACACCAATACATTTTTGAGGAGTCAGTTAACACCAAGTTAGTAAAATCTGTATATATGTGAAGATAAATTATATTAAACGCATTTACACACTCCAACAACACAAGGGAGATAACTCTTCG